TAAATATTAAAAATCTAGCTTTTGCTAAGTATATATCTTTCTCAGTGAAGAAGGTGTACTTAAAATACAGAATGCTAGTTTATGCATAGCTAGTAGATCAATAAGATACAGTAGAAAGTATCATGCTTTTTATGTAAAAAGCAATGTATGATTTGGTGGGTGATTTTGGCCTTCACTTCCCTCCCTACAGTCCTGTCTTCGGTCTGCTGTGCATTCTGAAGTGCATCGTCTGTGGTCATATTCACATTTCCAAGCCTACCTATGACTCTGCATGCAGTGGGAACCATACTGCATTTTAGATTACCTTGCAGAAGGTCTTTTCCTCTGGATCAATGTTGATATTAACTTGTTTGAAATGTCCATTCTAATGTAGTGCAGCTTGAAAGGAGATTAAATGAAGAATGCATTTTGCTTTCCAATTATTATCTGTAACATGACTTTTTTTTTTTGTTTGTAGTAGTAATAACCGTTGTAGTAATATGCTCAGCTATCTTGAAATTTTCAGTTACTATAAAAACATTATACCTGCACTGATGGGATTTGTTTTACTGATCTTGTTTTGTACTATTATTTTTCAGGCAATTTAGCTTGACTGGCCAAGTTAAATTAGTTGAAATTTGAATGTTATTTCATGCCAGTTCCCTGTGAGCTTCCAGTGAGTTTCTGTGTACGGTTCAATAACGCTGTGTTTATCTTCTGTGTTACTCAGTTTTGACTCTTAAAAAGTTTGCATCCACTCTTATTTTAGGCAGATAAGGCCTAATGAGTCTAGCTAGCACAGCACCTTACGAAGTTACTGCCCCTCAAATGTCCGTTGTGCTTCTACACTGGTGCATTTAATTTGTCCCACCGTCCCCTGTTTCTGGTCAGAATCCAGAGCTGCTAATTTCCTTAGCAGACTGAAAACGAATTAGCAGGTCACATGTGTAAGACTAACAGGTAACTTCTGAGAATTTATGGATCTACAGATTCTTTGCTATCTTTATGTGCTGGAGGTTACCAAAGTTGGCTCAAGTTTGCTCTGGATGGTGCCTTCTTTGAAGGTGTCTGTAAAGACTTGGCTTGTTTAATTTTTATTTTAGTGGTAATAAGGCCAGTTTGATGTTACCAGATGAAAGTGAGTCAGGAAGGCTTGAATAAAACACACACAGAGACTACTGTACTTCAAAAATTACTTATGGAGCCATTATTTATCTGGTCAGGTAACAATGTAATATTTCTAGTAATTTATCATTCTATGGATTATTACAACACAATAACTTGTCCTTTTTGAAGCTGTGTCAATGCGGTATTGTGCACTGGCATAATAAAGTTGTCTTATGTTGCTACTTAGATATGAAAGCAAAAGCAAGGTGTTTCATAAAGAGTCTTCAGTCAATTGTTGGTATTGCAGAACTGGCTTTTACTAATATGTTGAAGGTGATGAGAGAATTCTTTTGAAATGTTAGTATTAG